ATCCTGGCTTTGCTTGAATTTCGTCTCCAGCTCCAGAAGAGATTTCTCCACGTTTGTAAAAGCCTCGTTGATTTGCACGAGCTCCCTCTTCAGGTATTTCCCATAACTGTCCTCGCCGTCCAGGTCGTAGGAAACGCTCTTCCCGAGGCTCTCCAGAAAGCGTGCCGCGTCTTCTATCTGTTGTTTAATGATGATAAAATCCTCGCGTATGATCGAGTCCTGGTCTTCCTCCAGCGGACACGGTCTGCGGTCGATCCATTTAAAGAGCATCTGGCATTTCTCCGGGTCTTCGGTCTCCTCGTAATCACCGTCCGGGACGAAGAAGTGGTGAAAAGTCCCGTTGGATATTTCAGGGAGCAAAGGTCCCTTGTAGACTGCAGCGCAGAGCGGCAATAAAAACAGACCAAGGGCGAAAGGTAACATGATAGATTGCTTCTGTCCACTCGGAAGGTCTGACTGACCTGACAGGGACGATGTCCACATCTGGAGTCTAGTAAGAGTATGCGCGCTAGGAGAAACACTGAGGCTGTAATCTGAGTCCAGCGCGCTTTTACGCGCTCTCAAATTACACCACTCACAACTCCACTGGAAGCGTTTTTGCGTATCTGCGTATCACTCTGTAATAACTTTAATTGATAAGCTAACATTGTAATATGTGACCCTGGACTACAAAAGCAGTCATAAGTAGCAATTTGTAGCAATAGCCAAAAATGCATTGTATGGGTCAAAATGATCGATTTTTCTTTTTTGCCAAAAATCATTAGGATATTAAGTAAAGATCATGCTCCATGAAGATATGTTGTAAATTTCCTACCGTAAATATATCAAAACCTAATTTTTATTAGTAATATGCATTGCTAAGAACTTCATTTTGACAAATTTAAAGGCGATTTTCTCAATATTTTGATTTTTTTTTTTTTGCACACTCAGATTCCAGATTTTCAGATAGTTGAATCTCAGCCAAATGTTGTCCTATCCTAACAAACCATACCTCAATGGAAAGCTTATTTATTCAGCTTTCAGATGGTGTATAAGTCTCAATAATAATAATAAAAAACTGGTCTGGTTTTGTGGTGCATGTTCACATATACACTATCATTGAATATAATGAAATACACTAAAAAAATAGTTTGTTCAAGTAATCAGCATGAACTCCATCCTATGAATCATATATTAAAAACAAAGACATTAACAAATGGTCAGAATGTGTTGCACTTTACCATTCATTGGTTCCCCCTAATTCTTATTTTTTCTTTTAAATTTCCTTTTCAAAAATCTTGTTGTGTGGCATACCATTTATATTTCACTATATCCACAATATAGAATGGTCATGTAAATATAATGTAAATAAATTTGAAAATCATGCTTCTGATTTTGGGTGAAAAAAGCACCCGTTCAAAGTAATTAGACCATGTACGAAACGAATAATAATGAAAGTTACTAAACACTTGTGATGTATGGCTCTGAAACACTATGCCTTCATCCTGAGCTGTGGATTCTGGAAGCCTTGGCCAAAAAAAATATATATATACACATACTTAAATATCTCGGAAGAAGTTAATAATTCAGTAATTTAACAATACATTTGCATGTTTACAGTTTGATGTCACTTAATGGCCACACTGATGTGCAGTTGAACAAATTAAATATTTATATTTTTAGTGTTCAAGTGTTTCAATAATTTATTTGACATTTTTATTAGTGGTTACACTTTATTTTGATAGTCCACTTTAGACATTCTACTAACTATAAGTAACTTTGCAACTACATGTCAACTAACTCTCATTAATTAGCAACTACATGTCTACTAACTCTCAGAGTAGACCTTTAGGTTAGGTTTAGGGTTAGTAGAATAAGTTGACATATACTTGCAAAGTTTCTTATAGTCAGTATGTTGTATGTTGTGGACCCATCAAAATAAAGTGTTAGAAGATATTAAGCAGACAGTCTACTAATACTCTACTAACTGCTAGTTGACATGTAGTTACTTACTGTTAGCAGAATGTCTAAAGTGGACTATGAAAATAAAGTGTTACCCGATTATTAATAAAAATTATCACAATTTACATTGAATTATGTTTATACCATTGTTTAAAGCAACCGTGTGACATATTTTTAGATGAAAATAAGCTGAAAACACTTTAACTGAAAAAACTTGTATTGCTTTAGTATTAGTATTAAGCCTCAAATGTTAACTTTACATTGGATTGGTTTCTTCTTTAAATAAAAAAGTTAAAAAAAAAATGCATGGTATTAAAATGTTATACTAAAACTAAAATTGAAACAATGGAAACACCCTTAAGATAACCTGAAGAGAGCAAAAACATCTTACTGTAAGCACGCATAATAACATAAGTGGACTTTAAGCAATTAATTGCCACTTTGAACAATTACGTAATTGTGGCATCCAATGTGCAGCCATAATTTAATTAATTATTAGCTTTTTATCAACTCACAAACCAACTGCAGTTCTTACATTAAGCCCAGTTTGGGAAATTACATTTTTATCATATAATCTGTAATCAGTAATGGACTACAAATTGTAAGTAATCTAGCCAGCTTTGCATGTATTGACTCATATGTTAAATGTCCATAACAAATGGGCTTCCACTTTGCCTGTATTCACACCATAATACAATGTGATGGTCTTCAATGCAAATGGATTTGAATCAATTTCCAAAGTTTTTAACATGATCACATCTGTCGACTAAAAAAGCTAAAACAGCCTTTGTGTTATTCCCCTTTTTTTTTGTTCTGTTAAACCACTTTTTCAGCAGTGTGTGTATCAGGATAAACTACACACCAGAGCGTTTCACGGATGACAAAGTATTACAAACACAACTAAAGCACATCACCAGTTAATCATCATCAGTGAGAGTAATAATGAACCACATTATAACTTTACCACAAGTAAAATATAACACATCTTTTGACAGTCACCATTGCCATTCTTTATATCCAATATAATATAATATAATATAATATAATATAATATAATAATAACATCTGATAACCCCCAGAAACTTCTTCCTCTCTTTGATGATATGTTAGTAAGTAGGTATAGATAGATAGATAGATAGATAGATAGACAGACAGACAGACAGCCAGACAGCCAGACAGATATAGAGAGATAGACAGACAGACAGACAGACAGATATAGATAGATAGACAGACAGACAGACAGACAGACAGA